CAGGCTAACCAACTAATATCCTCGATAATGTAAATACATAAGCATGGCACGCAGGCCGAAAGGGAAACTATCTACTCTACGCTCCAAATCTCAAACTTAGGAGACACTAGTTTTAAAACCAAGAATAGACTTGACAGATAGGGATAAACACATTCAACAATTATAATCAAGCATATAGAGATACTAGCATATATCCTATGGTCATAGATTCACTTCATCTCATTCATATCATCGTTCCAATTCGTATCTCATCACACACAAGCACACTTTGGTGGCGGCACAGGACCAATCGCATGCCCATACATGAGGGTCAGCGCATATAGCTCTGACACAGCCCCGCAGCACCCTGCCTCGTATCGCAATACGAAGGGGTCGATCGCAACCGACTGATGAACCGCAGCTCATCATCATGTTTGATCGCAACCAAACAGTGGACCGCAGCCCAAGAGTAGTCATCTGACCGCAGCCAGGAATATGAACCGCAGCTCATGTAAGACGTTTGATCGCAACCAAACGGTGGACCGCAGCCCAAGAGTGATCATCTGACCGCAGCCAGGAATATGAACCGCAGCCCGAGAGTGTAATTCTGACCACAGCCAGCTTCTGAACCGCAGCCAAGGAATAACCAATTTGATCGCAATCAAATTGGGGTATCATGCACACAAAACACATAGCAAGCACATGCAGCCCACATTATCACATTGGGAAAAGGGGAGAAAACGTATAATGAAACCTATCCGTGGTCATCCACATACTAGGAATAATCCTAAGGGGTTCATACTTCTTTCACCTAGGCCAACGGGATACCAATTCAACTAGCATGCGATATATAAGACTCAGTTATCCTACGAACGGTACCCGAAACATCAAACTAGACTTAGGCACGATAAACGGAGTCCGTTGGGACACCACGAGGGTCGGGGAAACGTCAAACGGGGAAGCCGGAGTCCCGAAGTGGACAATTTCCAGCGGGTAGCCGGTGGGTGGAAGGCCACCCGCCGGCGACCAGTCTCCGGGCAGCGGGTGCCCGGCGGGCAGGCGACTGCCCGCTACCGGCGACGCCCTTTTTGGGCAGCGGGTAGGTGGCGGGTCCCCCTACCCCCCACTGACTTTTTACCAAAATAAACGTCCCGGGATCCGTTGTGGAACCCGAAACCATGCTTAGACACTTTTAAACCCAATTGATGACACCACGTAGACAATTAACGGATCAAAAGCAAGAATCATATAGCACATATCCTATCATGACTTCTAAACATGATCAACACCCGAACATGTGAAATCCCACCCAATTATATCAAGAATAACACACTATGAAATTCCCAATTTTAACCTAGGGCTCTAGTCATATTCAAATCAATAAAATCATTGTTCATCTTTTAATCATCAAAACATCAAGATTCATCAAGAACATCACATAATCATCAAGAATCTCTTATCATCATCAAGATTATCAAGATCACACATAAAATCATCTCACAATCATCAAGAACTTATCAATATCATAAATGATTCATCAAGACACAAGGATAGAGAGGAGGCCAAAGAAGATAATTATAGCAAGGAAAATAGGTTTTGTTGAGACATGGGTTACCTCTTAGCCTTAATTAATTTCCTTGGCTATGAAGGGTCTTTCTTTAAGATTCCTTCTTTCTTGATTTCTCCTAGGGGGATTCTTGGAACTTCTTGTGTGGTGAGAGATTATTGTGGTGTGGGTTCTAGGTGTCTCCTATGCCCCCTATTTATATACCTAAGAGTCCCTAATTAGGGTTAGTTCTATTCCTTCTAGGACTAGGGGATTGGGTTTAGGGATAAGGTCCCATGGACTATGGTGGGCCTTTTCCTAATTAATTATTGAAATTTAGTCCTTTCTTTTGGGTAAATGATTAAATGATTAATTGATTTTAGGGGCCGTAACACGGGGTGTTACACCGTGAGTACAACAGCCTACTTCACAATCTACTGTCTGCTTGTGCGAAGGAGATGCACACATTGGCTGCTTGGAGTGTGTCTCTTGTGGTTCGTGAGCATAATCGGCTAGCCGACTCCCTAGCACGAAAAGCGAAGAACCTTCCTAAAGGCCTGCACATCCTATACAACCCTCCGATGAGATCCTAAACGTCCTTCATGATGACCTTGATGGCATCTCTTTGTGGCGACAATAGTCTGTCTGTTTTCTTTTCTCCTTATTGGGTGTCCCCCTTCCACTAGATATAAAAAAAAATTGAACAGACTAGAGTGCAAATGACTCCGTGTTAAAGCATTGAGTAGCTTCAACTTATAATTTTCGGTAAGTGTTTTCTCCCGGTCTTAGCGTTTGTTATAATACTATTATGTTTCTTGGGTGTGTTGCTCATTTAGCTTGTAGATGTTGTGTGTAGATGTTACATCATGTGAATCGTCACAAAAAAAAAAAAAATGAAAAGTGTCAAATCGACCCCCTAAGTAAATTGGATAGTGCAATTGAACCTCCTAACTAAAAAAAGCTCCGATTAACTTTCCTAAACTGGTAAAAAACTTCAATTAAGTCCAATGCTAACCAACCAAGCCGGTAATAGCTTACATGTCAGCCCATGTAGATTAATTCTTCATCTTCTATCCTAACTGGAATTACTCATTAATATATATATATATATATATATATATATATATATATATATATATATATATATATTAGAAAATATTAATATGTCCTAATTATTTATTCTATCCACTGTACGTGGATTATATAATTATTAATATTAATATATATAATTCTGCACGTCCCCAAAACAAAGCATTCATTTTCATTTTACGCTAAAACTCCAAACAAAATCCTACCTTCTCTCTTCAATGTCGGAATTCATCGCTGATTCTCAAAAATTCACCACGAATTGAGTTTAACAAGAGACAACGAACTTCAAAAGTTGACAAAGAGGTATGCTTTTATTACGAAGCCATAGTTAAGAATTGATTTTAGTTTGAAGATTTTGAGTTTTTAGTTGATAATTTGTGTACTGTCGATATGAGTGTTGAAAATATTTGATGTTATATATGTGGAAAACATTGTGTTACTCTACGCATTTTGTTGTTCATATGTCCAAAATTGTATGTTGTTGTGGTCCCCCAATATGCCCAATATGTTGTGTTGTAAGCAGTGTGTGAATGCTATGGGTCCCTCTTTGTAGTTGATAATGGAGACATAGTGTGTTGTTGCGGTCCCCAGCAGTTTTTTAAATTTTGGAGATGGTGAAGGGCAAAAAGCTTCAATTTATTTTGTTTTTGTTGTTTGTCAGTGGATCTGTAGCTTCTATGTATGCAAGTGTTGAAAGTTTATTATTTTGAATAATGCTTTATTATTGTGGTCCAAACTAAAGTACATATATATATATATATATATATATATATATATATATATATATATATATATATATATATATATATATGTTTTTATAGGATGTTTGACGTAGTTGAGTTAAAGATTCATCATGGAGGTAGCTTTGCAAAAAATTCAAGGTTGTCATATATAAATGGTGAGGTAGAAGTCATTGATATTGACCCGGATAAAATTTCATCTCTTCACCTAATGAATTATATTAAAGAAGACAAATATGGACAAATAGTTGGACTTTACTTTAAGAGAGTAGTGGAGTCTATGAGATGCTTCAACTATTATATGATAATTGCAGTACATTAAGAGCATCTAATTTGGCACGTAGATATGGTAAGGTAGACATTTATGTTGACCATGGGATTCAAGAAGCAGAACTAGTTCTTAACTTTATTTTACCTTCCTCTACACCTTAGTGTGAATATGGTGTGTAATTTTGCATTCCCTCTTTTTAAACAGATTAACTGGATTAATCAACTGACGAAACATACTGACTGATTCAGCGATGAAGTCAGTCAGTAATAATAAATCATAGAGAAGATTAAAGAGAAGATAACAGCACAAAGCCAAAGACACAGAATGTTTACCCAGTTCGATACAGTGTGTATCTACGTCTGGGGGACGATCACATAGGCGTCCAATCCACTAAATCATAATCCAATGTACAAAGGTAGATATACAATAATCTTACCCAAGTGCCCCACACAAGGTACATACCCAGTCTACACAGGTTTAGTGGATTGTTGAAGATGGAGAGCCATACATACAGAAGTCCAATGAAATCCCTTCACTTGGAGAGCCCACTCTGATGCAGTCCATTTCAATGACGTTCTATACAGTTGTTCCCACAACTGTGTGATCACAGTGTCCTTTCGTTTAAGCAGCAGTGATTCTTCTCAAGTTCATCATCTTAATCACCATGAACATGTTGTATTGAGAAGATGCATAATAATCAAAGATCTAGTCTCATATAGCAGATGCGGAGTGTTTCTTAATCCTAATTCTCTTAGAATGATGGTACTTATAGATCCGTCGATAGAACACTCCTTCCATAGATGTCTTTGATTGTAGATGGTAGGACAATATTTGAAGAATGTAATCTTAAAGATTCGGTCTATACCCTTCCAAAACAGATACGCTGATCTTCCTTCCAAAACTGTCTTCTGCAAACCGCGTACAGCTTTTAAGAAAACACCTTCTTAAATCAGATCTTCAATGTCAGTCATTCTGTTGTTGCTTCTGATTGATCAGTCGTCTGTAGAGCTGGACAGACACATGCTAAACCTATCTTAGTATGCCATAATAATATTGCTAATTATAAGATGGGGTTTTTGGAACAATTAAAACTCCCCCTTAGGCTATTATTTGGCAAAACAACTCGACTATATAGATAGACAAAAACATAAAGAACTAAGATAGGTTATTATAAAGAAACAACCCATGAGTCAGATCTGATTACATAGTAGAACAAAAACAAAACAAAAGAACAAAACACAGTTTAAGATCATTCTTCAAATAAGAAAAAGGTGCCGTAAAAAACAACGCCCAGCCAGGGCCAGAAGGTACTCAAAAAATAAGAACTCCCCCTGATTTCATACTACTCCCCCTTTTTGCCAATGAGAGCCAAAGGTCATGCATTGGAGGGAGTGCCACTGTCGGACTTCGCAGGTTCAGTAGCAGCAGCAGATTCAGATAGGCTTAAACGAATAAGAACGGTTGCCGGCTCAGTACGGGCCTCAGTCAGTTGTTTAGCAATTATACCGTGAACTGTCTCAAGCTCATAGACCCGTGCCTTTAACTGAATGGAGAGATGAAGATCCTTGGCATGGGGCGAGTCATCAGCCACAGTATCAGCTTCAGAATTGGAGAGGGTAGTCACCGGTATAACATCTCGAATATGATCTCCAGTCAAAAGACGCCGATCAACAGTATAGAGCAGAGTTGGACTTATCACTTCACTCGGCATAGGCTCAAGACCCTGAGTTGTAAGAATGCCAAAAATCAGATTCGGAAAGGGTAGCCTTACCTTCTGCTCTCGTGGATGAATCATGGTGAGGATGTGGTTGTAAATCCAGTTTCCCAGATCAATCGGCATCTTTGTCCCAATTCGAAACAAGAAACCAGCCAGGTGCTTACCAACCGTGTGAAAGTGAGCTGATGGGAGCCAGTTATGAAGAGCCAGACGATGTAGAATAACATATCTAGATGTGAGTTGAGAGCTCTGCAGATAATCCTTGTCACCCGTAGGCCAAGTGTCAATCTGTCCACCCGTTAGAGTCTTGGCCACCAAGTTCCAGTCTGTAATTGCTTCTTCTTGCACAGTAGTCAGTCCATAGTATTGGTTGATCATGTCAAGCCCAAAGATGTACCACTTCCCTCTAATGAAAATCTGCATAGGACGTGGCCCGGTTAAGATGTCAATCTCGTCATTGAGATTACAGTAGAATTCATACGTGAGGAGCTTAGAATATGGGCAGATGTCTGTGACAGTCTTCAACAGCCCTACTTCATTCAGCAGTGGTAGAATATCACATACAGAATTCAGCTGATTCTCATCAACAGATCGTTGAACAATAAGATATCGTCTGACCATAGTGGACCATTTTCCCTGAGCAGCTGGAGAAACAAACTAAGGCTTGTAAACAGATGTGTCAGACCCTTCAACAGGTTGAACTTCAGGAGTTATGCTTCGACCTCTGGAACGTGTGGATGGTTTACCCTTTCTAGCAGATGATGTAGGTACAGCAGCAGGTTGAACAACCGTAAGGCCCTTTTGTTTAACAGAAGACCGTAGAGTCTTAAACACTTGTTGAACAGGAGGATTTGTCTCAAGTTTTGTAGTCTCACTAGACTTCCTTTTCTTCTCTGGTTGATCTACAACAGCAGTGTCCTCACCAGAGTCGACCACAACCTTCACAAGAACATTCTTCCTTTTCGACCTTCTTCTCTCCTTGGATTGGGAGTGGACAGGAGACACAGAGTGGCTAGAATCAGACACATGCGCAGATGAACCACCAAGGAGATTAGTGACCTCTCGAATTCTGAACGTGGTGGAATCAGGATGAGCAGTAGCTTCAACAGATGGAACCTGAGATGTAGGGGCTTGGGTGCCATAGACTTCAGCCAGTATTTTTTCATCTTTACTTGAGGATTCAGAGGGATGAATCACTTTTTAGGGTTCTGGAATGGAGGCAGCAGGAAGACTAGCAAAATGCCTAACATGATCAAAACTCTCCGCCAAAGAGGAGGAGCTGTAGACTGGAATGCCAACCATTTTCTTGGGTTCACGGGGGCTTGAGGATTGCACATTCTCAATAGCAGCAGGCCTATCAGAGGGATTAATAGAGGATTCGACTTCTTGTGGGACATTAGCAACAACAGCAGGAGACAGAGAAATATTATCAGACTCAAACACAACCAAACTTAGATTGTTTTGCTCATCAATCGATTTGTCTTCCTCTACAAATCCTTTAAGCGACTCACTATTCAAGGGGTCAGACTTCTCAACCGGTAAACAAGGAGGATCAACAGATACAGATGATTTCTCATAGACTAAAGCAGGCACATTCTCAGAATCAACATGAACAATAGATGGGGCAGCATTAGACACTAGATTCTCAGGTTTATCAGGTGAAATTTCTATAGGAGAGTCAGAGGAATTTGACCTGTTTCGCAGAATCTCAATACGATGCCTAGCATCATTCTGAGCGGCCTGAAGATACATGGGTTGAGCAATTTCTCGACGACGGGAGATTTCTTCAGACTCAAGGGCTCTTTGAGCAAAGTAATGGAGGAACGCCCCAGCGCGATTTCCATCCGAGGGTTCTGGAATAGATGCCAGATAAATGTCATCCCCTGCTTCGGAGGCCAGCAGCAATAGTTCACTGGTGTCATCGTCTGACCAGTCTGCATAAAACTCTGGACAATCGGACAGTACAGTGACAATGATTTCATCTCTGAGAATGGGATCAAGCCTCAATTTTTTCTTCATAGCCAACATAAGCAAGGTTTTGACGTGTTTGGTGGCTGTTTCCTATGAATGGACCTTTCTTCCAAGCTTGATGATCATATTACGAATTGCATCCGCCATTGATGAGAGATTCGAGAAGACGAAGAAGTAAACCCTAGATAGGAGATTAAGGAGAATACAGTATGTGTGCAGAGAGAGTCTCTTGTTTGTTCTCTCAAGTCTTCCTCGATACTCGATTATAAGCCCAAGGGAGAAGAACCCCAATAAATGCAGCTAGTCAGAAATCATGCAGAGCTGATGTGATTGACGCAACGGTATACCTCCTTTTTAGGCAAGAAACGGATGCTAGGCATATTTCAAATTTGAAAAAGCCTAATTACTTTTATGGTAATATAGGATAAGATATTCTCTTAACAAAAAGAAGGGAGTTTTTTTAAAAGGAAGTCAAAACTGAAATTTGACCAGAATACGTAAACCTTGCACTCTCCTTCTGATTGATGATCTGCCCTATTAGTCAATTCTGCAGATTCCCAGAGCAGATCTGAGAATCTCAAACCGGTTTGCGTCTAGGGGCTTAGTCAGGATATCAGCTAATTGTTTCTCTGTTTGAATATATTCCAATTCAATCTCCTTTGATTCTACCAGATCTCTGATGTAGTGATGTCTTATATCAATATGCTTCATTCTGGAGTGTTGAACTGGATTCTTGGAGATATTAATAGCACTGACATTGTCACAATAGAGTGTCATAATCCCTTGAGTAAGACCATAATCCAGCAACATCTGTTTCATCCATACCAACTGAGTACAACATCCACCAGCAGCTATGTATTCTGCCTCTACAGTGCTTAACGAAATTGAATTCTGTTTCTTACTTAGCCACGATACCAAGTTCTTACCAACAAAGAAGCATCCTCCAGATGTACTCTTTCGATCATCAATATTTCCTGCCCAATCAGCATCACAGTATGCAACAAGACTCAATTCACTGTCCTTGGAGTACCAAAGGCCATACTGCATCGTTCCCTTTACATATTTCAGAATGCGTTTTGCAGCTATCAGGTGTGATTCCTTTGGATCTGATTGATACCTTGCACAGATTCCAACACTGAACATTATGTCTGGTCGACTGGCGGTTAGATACAACAGACTGCCTATCAGGCTTCCATAGACTGTGTTATCCACTGATACACTGGTTTCATCTTTTGATACTTTTGTGGAGGTAGAGATTGGTGTCCTGGATGGTTTACATGATTTCAGATCAAACTTCTTGACTAGATTCTTAGCATACTTTTCTTGTGAGATAAAGTATCCTTCAGGGCTTTGCTTGACTTGTAGTCCTAGAAAGTACGTCAGTTGACCAACCATGGACATTTCAAATTCTTCCTTCATGACTTTTACTAACTCGTCAGTGTATCTCTGTAAGGTTGACCCAAACACAATGTCATCAACATAGATTTGGGCAATGGTTACATGATTTCCAGTAGTCTTCACAAACAAGGTTTTGTCGACACTTCCTCGTTTATACCCATGCTGGAGCAGATACTGTGTCAGTCGTTCATACCATGCCCGTGGGGCTTGTTTGAGACCATAGAGAGCTTTTTGAAGCTTATAGACATATGATGGATGGTCTGGATCTTCGAAACCTTTAGGTTGAGCCACATAGATATCTTCATGCAGATAGCCATTCAGAAATGCTGTCTTAACATCCATCTGAAAGAGTGTGAATCCCAAAATACATGCGACAGCCAACAGAATCCTGATTGACTCGAGTCTTGCTACAGGAGAAAATGTCTCATCATAGTCAATCCCTTCGATCTGAGCGTACCCTTGAGCCACTAACCGAGCTTTGTTCCTGGCTATATTCCCAGCTTCATCAGTTTTATTTATGAAGATCCACTTTGTTCCAATTATGTTAACACCATCAGGTCTTGAAACTAGATCCCAAACATGATTTCGATCAAACTGATGTAGCTCTTCCTGCATTGTCTTGATCCACAGATCATCCTGTAAAGCTTCTTTAACATTCCTGGGTTCTATCTTTGAGGTATAGCAAGCAGACCCAGATATTTCTATCAGATTATTTCTTATTCTGCTCCTAGTCTTCATCCCGTCTGTTGGATCTCCAATGATGTTATCTGATGGGTGATTTTTCTGAGTTCTGGTGGGTTTGTCTTTACCTGTATCATTTATGAGATTTGTCTCCTGTTCCAAACTTTCTTGATCTTTATCTGAGGATTCTTGTGATTTGGGCTGACTGTTGCTATCTGCAGTATTTGGTTCACTGAGAGGAAGCTTTGTCACAGGATCTGTCACTGTTGTGTCTAATGATTCTTCTTGACTGTCATCTATAACCACATTTACTGATTCCATCACAGATTGAGTTCTCTTGTTGTAGACTCTGTAGGCACGACTGTTTGCAGAGTATCCAAGGAAGATGCTCTCATCACTCTTAGGTTCAAACTTCCCTTTTTGTTCTCTATCAGCCAGCACATAACACTTTGTCCCGAACACATGAAAATACTTCAGGTTTGGCTTCTTTCCCTTCCAAATCTCATATGGTGTTTTGGTCGTTCCTGGTCTAAGATAGACCCTATTTACAGTATGACAGGCTGTGCGTACTGCTTCAGCCCAGAAGCGCTGCGGCAGATGAGAGGCATGTAGCATAACTCTAGCCATTTCTTGTAATGTTCGATTCTTTCTTTCCACCACACTATTCTGTTGAGCAGTTCTAGGAGCTGAGAACTCATGTGATATACCGTGCTCGGAGCAGAAATCTGAATATATTGAATTCTCAAATTCTTTTCCATGATCACTCCTCGGTCTCTGAACGTTTATTATAGACTCATTCTTTTCCTTCTGAACCCTTATGCACAAATTTTTAAAGGTCGTGAATGCTTCTGATTTTTCTCTTAGAAAGTATACCCAGTTGTATCGAGAGAAATCATCTACACACACAAATATGTATTTCTTTCCCCCAATGCTTTCAGTCTGTGTTGACCCCATGAGGTCTATGTGAACAAGATCTAGACACTTCTCAGTGGTGATGCCTCTTACTGCTTTGTGCGGAGTTCTGATTTGTTTCCCAATAGCACATGCACCACAGACTTTTTCTAGATCTATTCTGATCTTAGGTACACCTTTCACAGCTTCCAGTTTTATCAGCTTATCCATATCTCTGAAGTTTACGTGACCCAGTCATCTATGCCAGAGTTTTGAGTCATCAGATTTGGATAGGTGACATGTAGTTTCATTTGCTAAAACATAACAATTGTCTGAGGACCGGGTTCCTTCCATGACAAGTTGATTTGCTTTGTCACTAACTCTGCAGCAGTTACGATCGAAGCACACATTCCAATTTTGATCACACAACTGACTGATGCTAATCAAATTAGCTTTCAACCCACTGACTAACAGAACTTCTTCTAATTGAGGCAGACCTGGTACATTCAGGGTACCTTTTCCAACTATTTTCCCCTTTTGTCCATCTCCATATGTTACAGCTCCACTGCTAGGTTGAACCGCTATCAGACACTTTACATTTCCAGTCATATGTCTGGAACAGCCACTGTCGAAATACCATCTAGCTTCAGTTGTAGATGCAGTCAGAACTATAGTGGGGT